AGTGAAAAAAGGATGCATTTATGAATGAACAGATGTGCTTTCCAAAAAGCCATTAGGGCAGAGGGCAATAGCTGTCAGAAGAAGGTGGGGCGAGTTCCTTTGCTAATACTCAGACAGTCTGATCTCTTTTGGGATTTGACCCCATGGGGAAAGCCAAACCACAAAGCCCTCTCGGAATACCTTCATTTTGATCTTTGTCAAAGACCATCTCCCCTCCCTGCCCCACAACCACACCATCCAGTTTATTCAAGAATGCAGCTGGCCAGGTGAAAACAAGAGGGAATGCTTTTTCTCTCACCACTCTTCAAGCAGAGGGTCTCTGAATGGCACATACCTGTAGCACTCTGGCCTACAGAGGGGTCATGGAAATGGGAGAAACAGAAGAATCACTGCAGAATGATCTGAAAGCACAGAGCATGAGCCACGTGGGGTATTCACCACAGTGGGGCTGAGGATGGCATCACAGCCAAAAGAAATTTGGATTAAATTGTAAAGCTCTCATGGTATCATCCCACTGATATGATAGTTTTAGCCAAGTTTCACTAGACAAACTCATTTAAATATCCTTGCCATTTTAAATTCTGCTACAGGAATCACAACTGCTGCATTTTCCAGCATGACAAGTAGAATGGATTTAGGCTGGAACCAACTTACTTGTTGCACAGAGTTTTCTTTCTAGAAAAATGGCAGTTTCTTTTGCCCAAACTTTAGCCCTTAAAAAAGAAGACAATTTAGAAGTGTTAAATCAGTTATCTCCTGCTGCTTTTGCCACTTCCTGCAATATTTGGAAAGTCCTGCTCTTTATTTAAAAGCTGAGTTATCAGACGTGGTGAATAATTCCCCAACTGATCTATCTGATTTGTTGCCTACATCAACATGGGAAATTAAATGACCCAGACTGTACCTTCATTCTACTAATGGAGTGGAAAGCTGCCTCAAAACAATTACAGTCTGCAGCTGGTGCTTTCCCTTGTTCTGTTTCCCCTCCAAAGAAGGGGAGCAGAAGCAGAGATGCCAGGGAAGAGTGCATCTCTGCATCTCTGCCCAGTGGTGACAGAATTCTTAATGATAATATTTCTGCTCCAAAAGCTGGAGTCAGACCAGACACTGTGCTGGTCTCCCACTCTACTGGTTTCACCACAAATGCGTACCATCCCAGGAATGTCTCCATGGGCCATGACTGACAAACCCCAATTTCTCTGCTTCCTCCCTGAGCCATGCAGGTACGAGGCAGCTCTGAGTTGATTTCAGCTTCAGCAGTTGCTAAAATGCTGTGCATCATCATTGGGCACAGTGTGATGCTAAGGGAACTCTGCAGCTTGTGACTGGCATTGGAGCACATCCCACCAGCCTGGGGAAGGGACAGAGGGCAGCTCATGTTGCTGTCTGCTGACACATGTCCTGTGTCTGAATGGGGAGTGGGGACACTACACCTTCACACAGGCAATTTGAAACAAGATTTCTTGAGGCTTTCTTCTTTTCCCTTTCCCTTTCCTATCCTGTCCTTTATAAGAATGTATGTCTAAAGCCAACCCCAGTGAAGAAGTGATAGCTCAGTTAGATTTATCAGACTTCCATTCATTTGAGAGGTCTGTTTACAATGACCACAGATCCTGACTGTGAAAGTGTCACAGCAGACAAAGTCTTTGACCATGAGCAGTTCTGTAGAAATAAAGAAGGCCCGAGCACACTGTAGATTTCTCTTAAAGACAAAAGTTTGTTGAATTTATCTGTACACATATATCTACATATGTGTATATACACATACAGATGTGCACTCATAGTCTAGAGCTACCTTAACCTGCAGTCACCCAGACTACTATATTTGTGCTTTTGCTTTTCAAATCTGTGACAAGAATGTGAGGATGGAAACTTAAGAAAACTTCAAAAGCCCACAAACATCCTCAATGAACAGGCTTTCCACATCCTCACATCCAGAGTATTAAAAAAAAAAAATTTTAATAACTGACTCCTTATAAATGATTAATGTATTGTATTGCACGTAAGTGCTCTTCTGTTTCTAGGAATATCTTGTTGGGTAATATTCTCATTTGTGATTCATTGCATGTTCTTTTATAATTGCAGTGAAACAATGGTTTCTGGGTAAGTGGTTTTAAAAGTTTGTTGGGTGCTACAGAAGATCAAAGTATAATAAAACTTACATGGAAGCAAATGTTGTGCATGAATAACAGCAGCAGCTTTAACAAAGGACTGAATAAACACATGTAATTCTGAACAGGATGGACTGAATTTTTCATGCTGTCAATTCATCGTGGAAGAATCCATTCAGATGAAAAGGCTGAGCAGATAAGCCTGCATGTATCAGCACAACCCTTTGCTTCAAAAACATACATACACAAGCCTGGGTTCCCATGGGCAGGGAAACTCTCATTGCAAGATGCCAACATGCAGGGTTTGGGATCCTCTGAACAGAGTAAAGGCACATGTAAAAGCAGCCTCAGCAAATATCAATGACTAAACCAGACAGTCTATATTTTAGGGAGCAGAGAGGTGGCCAGAGCAGCTGGGATGACCTCAAGTTCATATCCCAGCACTATCAAGAGGCAGAAAACAACTGCTAAATAAGTCAGATATGACACTTCAAGATCTAGTCACCTGTTATTTTGTTTTAGGGAGGGAAGACACTGAGGCAGTGGCTGGGAATAAAATTTTTCTTTGCTGTCAGAAATAAAATAAATTATTTTCTTTAAGCATGGAGTAAGTAGAGCACTGAACAATACTTAACAGCAGATCACCCCCAAATTCAACTAAAATTCCTCACAGCTTCTCCAGAACTTTCAATACAACCCTGGTGGGGACTCCTGAATCTCACTTATCAGTCCCAAAAAACTAAGAAAAAAAGGGTTTTCAGCTTAGCCATTTGGAAGCAAAATGCTCAGCTGCAGGGCTTCAGCATTTTTGACAGTTAAAACAAATTGCAAGTGCAGTGATCAGCCAGTGAGCAGCAGTCTTTCTGGAATTAGTCACTCTTCCAGACCAAACAGAACACATAGGTTAGCTTATTGCTTCCCAAATATCAAATAAAAATAAAATACAGAGAGGACAGCCTAATTCTGACTTAAACAGTGGAGAAAAAGAACACAGAACAAAATGTGTCAAAAGTAAGGGGCCTTTTTTCCAGGAAATTATAGAGTTAGATGTTGTAGATTTGTTCAGAATAAAAGGAGTGCAGCAAATAACATATTCTACCTATATAAAGTTTGGGTTTGAGCAGTTGTACTGAAATGCAGTGTTTTGAATGCAATATCCAAGCATCACAATAATCCATTAATACAGAGCTATATGGCTATTATTTTGTCAAAATAAACTACAGAATGGAGAAATCTTAGAGGCCTAAATTGCTCTGGGATTTCTGCATAGCCTCTTTGCAGAAATACTAACCCAAAACGTAATGTGAAAAAAGCAGCAACTAAGGACATTCAGACAGAATGTCTTTCTTCATTCCCAAGTGAACAGAAAGCTCCAAGACTTGTGTCCAAATATTTTGAAAGCATCAGCACAAAGGAGTGACAGGTATTAAAGACATCACCCACCTTCCATGATTACATGAACTGTATCAGATTGAAGAAATAAAACTTTTTTTTCCCCTTGCTATGGTAGTTATTTTCATTCCCCTCAACAGCAATCTAGTCCTCTACAGATGCAGTAGGATTTTAAAACCTGAAGTGTGAAGGTCATGATCTGAATTAAGAAAAAGGGGAAAAAATAATTCAAAAATGTAGTACCAATATTTATACAGCAGTTTAACAGGCCATCATCATGATGAAGTCTGTGTAATTATTTGTGTGTATGAAGGGCTTCAGGGGGATGAAAACTGTAGTAAAATTTGATGTGCCTTTTAATCCCTGGATGAACTGCAAGGTCCTGCTTGCAGGAATAGTTCCTGCACTAGGAAATGCTGTTGTGTCACTGGGAGAGCTATGCAGGTGAGACTGCCCAGCCATGTCTGAGCTATGGCTGCCAGGAGCCCGGCCAGGCCTGTGTGTGCGCCAAGCTGCCGCCCCACAGCCTGGGACAGAACCAGGTAGGACCACCCCTACACCCTGCCCTTGCACTGCACTGAGGGAAATCCAGGAGTACCAACAAAACCAGCAAAGTGGTGCATTCAACAGGCTCCATGGTGTGGACAGCGGAAGGAGCAGGGAATGTGCAAAATGTGCCTGCTGTGCTGCTGGCACCAGGCAGGGACATGTGGGGCCGGTTCTCAGGAGGCTGTGGGATTGCAGGAAAAGGCTGGCATGTTGCTGTGCTCCTGCCTGCCCTCTCAGGTGTCAGCTCCGACCAGCAGCATCCCTCTCTCCCCGTGTCTGCATGCTGTGGGACTCAGGGTCGCCTGCACTTTCATGCTCTGGTGTTATACAGCACAAACAGGGAATGTTTTCTGCTGAGGCAACAGTCAGTACAAAGCCACCAGAAAGACCCCAAGCAAAAGCTACCCAGAACAACAAAAGAGAATTTAGGGTGCACAAAACAAGTCTACACTGTTAACAGTGCTGTGAATCACTTACTAGCCTTTTTCTACATCCACCCTTTGAGCTTTAGTACCAAAAGGTATTAGGAAGTATCCAAAACACCTCAGCTTAACTCTAAGAGGCTAAAAATCTTAATAGAAATTGCATATGGAATTCTTTTTCTTTTTTAAGCTTCAGAAATGCATGCTTTGAAATCCCCAGTGCTCTTCCATCAATGTGGAGATGACTAAATGTAGCAAAGAGCAAAGGTATTACAGGGCAGATTCTTATCTGCTTTTCATTATATTGTACACTTGCTCACATCTGTATCATGAGTTCAAAGCCTGAACACAAACTGTTACTGTCTGACAAAAACTCTGCATTGTGTATCAAAGAGGACCCAGCCACACTTTCAAAAGCGAGTTTTTTGAACCCCAAGAGGAATGTTTTCAGACATAAATTGTATTTCTCCAAGCCACTGCCAGTACCCAAGCACACCCCACGAAGACAGGCAACACCACACCCTACCCGTAGAAATGATGCTCCTCCGATCGCTTGCTCTGTTCCCTGCTTCGTCTGCCTCAGAGTGCCCAGATCAGATCCTGCCCCGGAGAAAAAGCAGAGTCAAAGGCTTGTGAGACTTAGAGCCAAGTCCTGGAGCCAGGCTGCAGGAGCATCAAGGAGTACTGGGCTGAAGCAGCATGGATGGGAGATGTATCAAAGTATACTACTGCTCCATCATCACACATAGGTAACTGAGAGCGTCTCAGTCTGAAACTGCTGGTCACCATCTGGTGATAAAATATGGAGATGCCAAGTGAGTTAAAGCGAGCTTGTGCATACCAGCATATTTTAGTTACACTACATCATGAAACCCATCATCACCTTCATTCATACTGTGGTGTCTGTCCCAGCATTGCAGTTTCATACAATTTGTGCTAACTTTTTCCCTCCTTAGCTTCAATCACAAGCCAATTTCATCTTTCCATCACATACACATAAACATAACCTTCCAGTTCAAGACACTTCTCACGTGAAAGGAAGTTAAGTGCAAAGGAGAGCAGCTGAGACATACAAAGTCATGTCACTCCTAAAAACAGGCACAGAAGTCAGGCATTGGCATGAATTTGCTAAATGATGCAGAATTAAAGTATTAAAGGAAAAGACAGGAGTCTGTCCCTTCCCCTGCTTCACAACTCTTCAGTGTGAATTACAGAATCTTAGGACAGCAGCAAGATGAGGCCTAGCTGACCTTTAAAACAATGAATAATTTCCTAACATGGCAAGATGATTTAAATATACCTAACAGCTTTAAACACCCAAAGCGCTCTCCGTTTAATTATTTTTGCTACATCTGAAATATTTGAGGAAAATATAGATGATATCTCTAATTTGTTAATTACCAGCTGGCTCCTACCATGCATTATTAAGCTACTATGGCAGTGACTAATGCCTCTGACAATACTAAATTACCAACAACACCTTGTGGAGGAATGTGACCTGAGCAGCCTAGAAAGGACTACCCGCAGGTGTTTATTTTCAGATAAAGATGGTTTAGTAACTCAGGCATATGGCAGTACCACAATAATGCCCAAGTCTAGAGGAGGAGGGCTGCACCCCAAACCCCACACGCTGCCTACCCCATGAGCACTGCCATGCCCTGTGGCTGGAGTAACCCAGACACCTGCATCCTGCTCCCTGCTCATGGCACAGATGTGGAGGAGGAAGAGCACACCAGGTTTTTCTCTGGAGGTACTTTAGCTGCAGCCATGGCTCCTCACTCAGTGGCTTGGGCAGGGGTGTACCTTGCACCCATGTTTGGGACTCCTCCACTTCCAGCCCAGTGGTCCCAAAGGCTTTGAAACAGGGAAGATGGAAGACAAAGGAAATGTCATTGCCTACAGAGGGTCCCTCTGCACAGCTGCAGCCCAAGCACTGCCCTTTTCCCCTCACCTATGAATACAAGTTTGTTTTTTTCTTCCCCCTCCCCCTTTTTTTTTTCTCTAAGCGCTTTCTGCCAAATTGATTAAACTAATAACATTACAGCTTGAACAGGAACGTACACATCTCAGTCGTAAGTGTGTGAAATAACATTACTCTCCCTTCCAAATCCTCCTGGAGTGGTTAGGAAATTCATTCTTCTCCTGTGCATTTGCATTATAAAATTGCTGAACAAACCTATTCTGCTGTAAAGTGAAGGAACACATTTTCTTCCCTACTCTAAGTAGGTCAATGCAAACATGATGTTGTGAGGATGAAACTGTTTTCCTCCATCTTCTTTCCACAATGGCAGTTTCAAATCATTCCAATTTAATTACGTTTCTAGTGTGAGCATAATACTGTAAGGGCATTAAGAACTGATGTATTGGTGGTCCTCAAGTCCGAGGTTTGTGCTTTCTTGTGGGCTTATTTTAGCTTTAGGTACACACATGCAATTCCTACACATGGCCCATCATGGCACAGTTAAGAAAAGCCTGCCAAGAAATCTGGATGTGAAATGCAATGAATTATGAGGCACAAGAATTTAACTCTCAGGTCTGAGACTGACACTGAGCTCCCACATCAATGTGATCTCCTTTTTAGGATGACATTCTGACTATCACCTCCTTTAAACCTGTGACCAGTGAACTTGCTCTGAATTAGCACTGGCATAAACAAAGCCAGAATATTTCCAATGGAAGTACTCCAATTCATAGCACCTGGAGACTTCTCTGTGTGCATTTCATCAGGAGGGATTATCCAGTAGCTGGAGAAACATTCAACTTGCAGCTATAGTGGTCTGAATACTAAATGCAAACTAGAGACCACTGGCAATAAAAATACATTTCGGGGGGGAACACCCCTCTCCTCAATGGGAAAAAGGGCAGAAATTACATTACACTAAAGAGAATACGTAGTGCCTAAAGCATTATCAAAAGAAATGTCAAACAAACAAAAAAAATGATATTGCTTTTCTACTGTCTATTTCAGAACAGATGGTGTAAATTAGTTTTGTTCACATTATCTGAAAAAAAGAAAAAAAATTAATTCACCTCATGTAATGCCTGTTGCAAGCTCTCACTCACCCACACAAGAACTCCAAATACCCCCTTCTGCAGCCAAATGTCTGTCATAACAAAGGTTACATGCTCTTACAACCCACTCCTTGTATCCTTGTCCTGAAAACAACAGGCCTGCCTAGGACAGTAAAGCTAAGCACATACAAGTGGACATCACTCTGTCCTCAGTGTGAAATGTTTACCCTATGAAACCCCATGACTTCAAAGGAAACTCGGATTTCATCCGAAGAATCCAATTACATATTTCAGATTTAGGATGGACTGTCAAGTGCCAGCTGACAAAGTGATGTCCCCAAGTATTTCAGGACAGTGATATTTGAGATGAAATGCAAAGCCAGCTATTTGTGCCTTATCTAAGGAACATTCAAAATGAGGAAATTATATGATGATTAAATGCCTCCTCCACCTCAGCAAAACACATTCCACTCAGCAGAGGTCTTTGCAACCAGAATTTAGAAAGAATGTCTGTCATTAAAATAATTCCATGAGCAGTATTATCACCAGTATCATCAAATCATAGGGATGGTAGGAAAGATATGTAATCCACCTCCCACTGTGAGCTAGAGTCAGATAAATTTTGTTCATGTTTATTAAAGTCATTCCTAACACTTCCATTCCAGTGATGGAGACCCCACAAGATCCACTGGCAGAGTATTTTGTGGATAAAACTTTTGTAGGATTTACCTCCTCTTCCTTGTTTCATTTTAGATCCATTTCACTCTGTCCATGGCACAGAAAAAAGATTACTGGCCCAGTCTTGGCAACAGCCTGTACTGTGCTGTCTGTGCTGAAAACCTGCCTTTCTCCTACTCACTCCTCAGCAGGCTGCTCTTCCTTAGGCACAGAAAATGTAACCCTTTCAGGGTTTGCCCTGGGCTATGTCCTATGGATCTCAGGTCACTTTTCCTACCCTCTTCTCCACATCTGAAGTGGCCAGCATTTTCTTCAAGAGCAGTGCTCCAAACTGAACACAGAACTCCAGCTGAGTGCTCACCAATGTGGGGACTGCTCCCTGCAGGCTGAGGGCCCCCACGCAGCCCAATATTGTGCTTTCCTGTTTATTGCCAGTCCATATTCAACCAGAGATCCACAGTAACCTCTATCCTTTCCTGAAGAGCTGCTGTCCCACTGGCTGCTCCCCAGCCGGCACTGGTGTCAACAGCTACAAGGATACAGCTCAGTGAACATTCTGGAACCTCACACCACCACTGCAGCCTCTGTGCACCCAAAAGAAGACAAAAGTGCCCTTGCAATGCTGATTCACAAAATGCATCAAATTGTGGGTGGTTTTTCATCAGCACACAGGACAACACATTGGAAATCCATTAAGGATTGGGCCAAATTTTATGTCCTTGCTATGTACAGAGCCTCTCAGTATAGGCAGTCAAGACTACTACAAGCCCAGTACAAGCCCAAGCACTCACCTACAGTGGTGCACAAAAGGACAGTATCAATGACCTGTGAAACAGGTATGGACAGACCAACTAGGCTGGGCTTCCTTTCTGGCAAAGCTTGTTTCTCTTGGACATAACACAATGGATGTCTTCTTTTGTACTTTAGTACTTAGCAAAAGCTCAGGCTTTGTGCACAAGGAATTTATTTTTGCTTCCTGTAAATGAGAGTCGCATGAAAAATTATCTGTCTTCTTAGTTGATGCCTTTTTCACAGAAAATACACTGTTCCAACAAAAGTGGATATTAAAAAGTGTAACAGCAAAGATTAGGCCCATTCAGTCCAAGTTACCACCAAGTTGCGAGTAACTGCACATGACAATCAGCCACCACCTATTCCCCCTTCCATGAAAATGTACTGTCCTGCAAAGAGTTCATATGAGCCTGGAACTATTATTTTTTCCTAAAGTCTTTAATCTCCAACACTTTTAATTGTATTTAGGAGTACATTACCAGATTAAATGTAGATAAAAAACTTATATTGGTTTGGATTCTCTTCAACCATCCACTACCTCCCTTATTTATTTAATTGTATGATTTCTGAGATCATTATTTACTATCACCTAGAGTCACATGATTGCTATTTGCCATTATCATTTTAGCAAGTTTCTTCTGTTTATCCCTACTTCCTACCATAAAACCATTTTTCAGTTGCTCTGCTAGATTTTATGGCTGACCTGAAGCTTTATAGATCAAATATTAGAGTGAGGCTGAATGCATTATTTACACATTTTCAGCAAATTTCAAAGCAGAAGTTATTGAAAAGAAAGAGTTTCACTTGTGCTAAAATAAATCTTTAATTACTCTTTTGCTGAGAAGCCTTCATTCCTCCATTGTTTCACACACAAAAATTCAGCAGGCAGATACACAACTGTTATTTTCCTGTCCCTATCACTGAACAGCTGCTGAGTTTATTAACAGCAGTCACACTGCATCCCCCAGCATGGCCCACAGGGAGCTTTAGAGCTTACAAGTGCAAGTGATTGCTCTGGCAGCTGAAGGTCTGCACCTTTGCTGATGACTTGTGCTTTGAACTGACGTGGGTCTATGGGAGACATGCTCAGGGGCTCCTTGCAAGCCACACACAACCTCTTGTATTTGAAAATGTGTCTCCTCCAGAAATTTCCTCCCCTAGACTCCCTAGGCAAGCAGAGGAGATGGAGTAAGGACTGCTGCTACATTTCTGAATGTGCTGCCAGCCTACACAGCTTGCTGTGACTGTGTTTGATGGGTCATCAACTCTACAGCTGGAATCAGGGGGAAGACAACTCAGAGTTTTGGATGAAGAAGCCTGGAAGGTGGCAGAAAAAGAAAGATGGGAAGCCAGGACACAGAATAAGTTGTAGGGAAAGTAACATGATAGATAGCATCATCAGAAGTGGGGGTTTTAAGGAAAAATCATGGCTTCTTTACAGAATAGCCTGGCAGAGAACATAGCTTGACTCTCAGCTTTGTTAGGTTCTCCCTGCATTCCTGTACCAATCAGCATAATACAATTTATAGCTACATTAAGCTTATATGATTTATTTTCCTTAATAAGACACGGAAACTGATCAAAATTTCAAGGACAGAAATACAATCATAAAGCACTTTGCATTTTGTTAGATCTGTTTGGAAATTTGTTCAATCTGTTTGGAAACAAGATTGTTGGCATATATTCAAAGAAAAGTACTTGCTATCGTAAGAGCAATTAAAAATATATATCACATACCAAGATAAAGGACTGGCCAGCTCTCCTAGATTAACTTTAATTTTTCAAGTAGGTGAGAAAGCTTTCAGTCATTCAAGATAGGATTCTGTGTTAAAAAAGTGACAAGATTGCAGAGTTATCAACTCAGAAGTTAAGAAATTATTAAATCAATGATTTGCCTTTGTAATTTGATGCAATTTTTTTTAGATGTAAAGGTAGTCATTCTTAAATCAATTTATAGGAAATAAAAGAATGATCTAAAAGCAGGGAATGGATTGTATTTCCGTATCATGCAAATGATACGGTAGGTCTCTTAATCCAATATAAATGAGTTGTGAATTAGAAAGAAACAGGGGGACAGAAACTTGTGACAGCCAAATAATCATTGCTTTATAAATCTGGAATGAATCAAAATGTTCCCTGATCTTCTTCCAAGGACAATGTTGCATTAAGAATGAACATGCACTGAAAAGGTAGTAATTACTAGAAAGCACATACTTCCGTTACAAGAGGAATTTTTAAAATGTAGCAGGAAAGCCCAAGATTACTTATTCTATTTGCATCTGTTACTTGGTAAAGAGTACTCAAGGACAACTTCAAGCAGGGTCCTCTGTGCTTTGCCTTTGCTTACTTTCATTGTGTTTAAAAAAAACTAGCCACAAGTTGTCATCAAATTGCTTTGAAAGTCTACTTGCTGACAGACATTTCTGTCTCTGTTTCATTTTCCTGGGGATTTTTTTGATTCCACTTAGTGCAAATTTCCTTACAAATTTACAAAGAGGTATTTCATCCCAGACTAGTCTTAGCCTTACCATAGATATAAGAAGAAAATAAGAATGCAGCATGTAGGTACTACTTTTCAACCCTTGATCCTGGAGCACTTCACAGAACCAGGCAAGCATCACCACCACTGCTCTCAGCGTGGGATACACCAAACCCTCTCCCTCCATGGCCTGGCAAAGATCACAGGCACAGAAGCCGACTTGTTCCCTCCACTGCCCCAGGGAAGGTTATGTTCAGCAAACCACTATCACCATGCCAGCAAATTAATTAATAAAGAAAGATTCATCATTTCCACTGCTCTCCTATCTCTTTATTACACAGAGTATAATCCCCAAATCAACTTTTAGAGCAAAAGGCCACATAATTGGTTCAGACACAGGAAGGAGACAGTAAAACTCAGCTTCCAGTAACACCCCCTGCCAGGAATGATGGTTTTTCGAGACTGTTAGGTGTTGGGCATTCTCTCAACTACCACAGATGCAATTAGATGCATTTTTAAGCATCCTGTTAGTGGGAAGTATCACTGTGCTTCCAGGTAAATCACTGCATACCATAATAATTAGCTGGGAAGTTCTTTATTCCCTGATACAGCAGGAGCCGGAATGAATAGTAAGTGCAGGAGATCCAATATCACTTGGACAGGCAATTTCCTTGGGGTTCTACTCATGGACTCAGAGGTGATACTATGGCTGCATATGACATAATAATTGCATTAGTTTGGGGGTTGGGTGGGCTTGTGTTTGTTTTTTTTTTACTGAATTACAAAATTACAGAATTGAGGATTTCTACAGTGTGGTGCGCTATATAGACTGTCATACTCTGCCAAAGCAAACCACTGGGAGAAGAATCAGGAAAGGAAAATAAAGGACGTTGTATCACTATAAGCTGCTTCTTTGGAGCTCAGAAAAACACCAGCACATTGTCAAGGAGCCATAGGGAAACAACCGGTTCCTAATGACTCTTCCATTTTCTTATTTATGGCAAAATGATCACTGCAAAAAGCTTGAAGATAAGGCTAGAAGCAAAGTTTTACAAAGGCAAAAACAATCATGACAGAAAGAAAATGGGAAGCATGTACAATAACTATAAAATCTAGCAAGGAGGTATTTTTAATACCCATAAGCATATCCTTGCTTGGTTTGCAAAGAAATAATTGTAGCATGGTTTGCAAAGAAAAAATTCTAGAACTATAAAAGGGGAAAAATGCTGCAAACCCATTTTCACCTCAGAAAGAATGATGTTCTCAAACATCATGACAAAGTCACAACAAAATGGTACAAAAAGGGAGGGACACGACCAGCCTCCTTGAGAAGGGGACATGCTACCAGCCATGACAAAGCAGTGCTTCTCCCTAGGAGACACCAAACAGTCAGCTCCTCGGAGCAGGAAAGCATGGCATGTGCTAGTGATGCTGTGCCAGCATCAGAGCAGCACCTCAACCACTCACACAGGACACGAAACCAGGAGGCACCAGCTTCATCCATGTTCTGACCCTCTGCTGGATCCCCCTGAAGATCAGCACCTTCATGATCTCTCCTCTCTCTGCAGCAGCAAGAGGCAAGGGCAGGGGACAGGCTCCCTCTCACCGTCCCATCCCCTCTGTCTCAGCATCACTTCTCCATCTCCCCCTGTGTGGGATTATTGGCGGTTCTGGGCAATGTGAGGAAGGGAAGGGAAGGGAAAGCTGCAGTGAGGAAAGAAGACCACACCACCCCTAACAACACCCTGTTACAAAAGGCTTTAAGAAAATTATGCCTGGTTCTCTCTCCTTCCTCTCTCCCCACTTACCAACAAATCCTCGTAACCTAAGGAGCACAAGGCTAGTGAGAAAGAATGGGGAAGGGAGAGGAAGGCAAGTAGAGGAAAGAGTCCCTGTGTCATGTCCTGATAAAGCTACCACACCCTTACTCAAAAACCTCACTCAGTTTCACACTGCTGTGTAGTACCATTATCACTGAGCACATGCAGTATCACACTCACCCTAATCAGGAAAAATTCACCCTAACAGCTGGCCAAGGATTTTCCACTTCAGTAAACATGCCAACATTATAATAATTTGGAATTTGTACCAAATACACCTACATTTTCTATGGGAAAATACCACTTTATTGAACATTTTCCATTTATTGGAAAATTAGGACAATTGGAAAACATTATTTCAGGTGAATTAGGTAGACCAGAACACTTTTTAAAGTCAATCTAATACCTCAATGTAGTTCTTTACCCTGGGAACATCTTGTTCTGGGGTCAGATGCTCACTCCCTTCCAGGAGCAAGGTTTTTCAGGCAGCTTCACTTCCCAGAATTCAAAACATGTTTCTTTGTGACAAAGCTCTCCAGTGCCTCTTGGACATTTAATTATGGGAGAAGGGTCTCAGATAATGAAATGGGAACATCATGCTCCTGAACTATAACTTCGGAAAAGCAATACACTGTGGTAGGGAAATGCAATTAAATTTTGAACTGACTCAGGAATTTCCCATGGAACATTAATTCTATTTTCTGCTCACCTCTGAATGTCAGTCTATTTTTCTCTTTCAGTTTAGGAAGCTTATAAAAGGTGCAGTGAACCCATACTTCTAAATCTGTGAATTTTCCCTCCCTCCTTGGGGAGGCCATAGCCATGGGAAGAGTGTATCTGCAAACAGAAGCCTATTGTGTTAAACCTTATCAGAGGTGATGCCTAGCCTGAGGAACTGCTACCTAGATACCAAACACAGAGAAATAATAAATGTATTTTCACCTCCTTCCAACCCCTTCTGGTCTGCAGGGGCTTTGAGAGCTCACATGACTTGCCTGAAGCTGCACAAGATCCTGTGCAAGAGCCAGAAATTAACCACAACTTCACCAAGACTCACTGCAAGAGTTTTACATATTGACATTTTTCGTTTCAAAGGTCTCTCACTTCAATACCAAAACAAACATTACAGTAATTCCTTGATGTAATGTAAAAAAATTCCTTCATGTCAGCAACTGTTGGCCTGGAAATTTAGCCCAGGACTGAAGCGTTGGGCTAGTCAGAGTTACTTAAAAAAACACCCAGCTACTACAAACTGTAAAAGAACTGGCTTGGATTTCATTTCTCATCCCTACATCCATTTTTTGTGCCAGATTTACCTTAAAGTTATCTATCTCTTTCTTCTCCATCCCCTACACCTGATCACACAAAAACCACTTCACAGCAGATTCGCTCACCCAAACGTTTTGCAAAATTCAGGCAAGCTGACCAAGAGGGATGAATTCCATCAACTGCCAGAAAGATACCAAAAGATACCAGACACATCATCTTTCCCTGAAACAGAGGAACTGTTTCTATTTTAGTTCACCCACTTTCACATATTTTGCACGACACAGACTGCCATTATATGCATCTCCTCAGCAGTGATATCTATAACCAAAAATGTCAGGCGTCTCAGCTATCCGCAGACAGCACCTATTTCCTATGGTTATTACGGGCAGTACTAACACGTCAGGAATTCTGAGTATGTTTGGGTGAACTGACACCAGATCCAAAGTTAGGAGCTCCTCCACTATGAGTGTAAAACACACATGCCCAGAAAAAAAGATAAAACAATGCTGGCATTTAGACGACGCACACTCAAAGCCCAGATGCAGATGAAACTCTCAGACTACAAGTTCTTGCTACATAACAAATAGTACATCTAACTTCCAAATGAGTTGCTGTATTTTAAAATCCTTTTGGTTATAGGAACACCACAACTTCACCAGAAATGTTTCAGAAACTGCCTGAAAAAGACATTGATCAATAAGGCAACATATTTGCCAGATACTGGAATTGTTTCTGGTAAGTTCTAAAAAGAACATGATAGCCTGAATTTCCTTTTTTTTTTTTACTTAGAAATTCACTAAGTGAGGACTACCAGGGGTATGCACAGATTTTAAAATTTCTGCTAGAAGGACTTTGTTCAAAGAAAATGATAGCCAAAATGTTTGGGTTTTTTTTCTTTCTTTTTTTTTTAAATCAAACTCCCAGTAAAAGCATTATTTGGGAACAAACAAACAAGAAGGTTAAATTTAATTAACCCTGTGCTGTGATCAAATTCACCCATGAGGAAATAGTTTGTAAATGAAACCATGGCCAAACAAGCAAGCAAACATTGGTTACATCCCCTCCAACAGGGAAAACAACTCGCTTTTCAACTTTGTAATAATAAGCAACATTTCAAACATCATGTCCCACTAACGAAGAGCAAAGGTACATAATACAAATCATCTGTTAGGAAAACAGCACTCCAAACTATAATGGCAAAATAAAGCCCAAGACCCCGTAGGTATGCCAAGAAAAGTTAACACTTCACTGAGGGATAAAGGGATTCGGTTCCATATGGGGAAAACGGGAGACTAAATCGCCCGGGGTAAACACTACTTAAGCATCCACCTCATCCTAGAGGAACTGCTCTGGAGGCAGCAGGGAAGCCCAGAGGAACCACCCTAGCAAATGCAGAGGCAAGCTTCCTACTTACCCCACTGTATGCACCATGATCTCTTTTGCCACCTTAGTAATTCCCAAGAATCCAGAATGATGTTATTTTTTTAGGGAATTTTACAGCTGCTAGAGGAGACAGAGGCAAGCTGACAAGCAGAACTTTGCGAGAAGCCAGGCAGAGAGGGATGAATTTAAACCTTGGCTCAAGATGCTGTGTATTCTGCGTCTATCTTTAACTTCTAAATGATTTGGTTTCACATTCCTCTGAAGTCCTGCTGGCAGATGCCTTCGCGGAGCTTTACCAATCGCAGGCACCCTGCCCCCCTCTCCTCCTCTATCCCTCCACCTCCCTCCCTCCCATCCTCCCAAGCTGCCACTCCACCCCCATCTGCCCCATCCCCACCTCTCCTCACTCTCTCACACATACACACACACAGAGGGGGTTGGAGGGCAGGATTTCACGGCTTCCAGCCTCGCCTGCCCGCCCTCGTCTGAGGGAGCCGCCCCCCCGCCCGCCGCGCTGCCGGGCACCGGGGCCAGCGGCCCGGCGAGCAGCGCCTCACGGAGCCTTCGGACAGCGGGGCAGGTACCTGAAATCACAGCTTGCGCCCACTCAGGCAGGTCCCTGAGCCCCAGCGCCACCGACCGAGCCGCGGTCCTTAGCGGGGCCCCCGGGGCACATCTTCCGCGGGGGAACCCGGGCAACACGAGCGGGAGGGCTGGGGCAAGGCAGCAATTCAAATGCGCGAAGGTTCGGCAGAGACTCATCGGCAGGCTTACAGCACTCCGACTGCACAGGGAGCTTCATGGAGGAAGGACGTTTTAAGAAAAAAAAACCAACAAAACACCAAAACAAAAAATCCTAACCCAAAATAAAATATATAATAAAAAGAGCTTTATACCAGATCTTGACTACAAAGCTTCTAAACTTCACTCTTAGTCCGTGGCTCCTTACAGTAACAATGTATTGCAATGTTGTTTAGACTCTGAAGTAACTAGACTACAGATTAATGATCAAATTCTAGGTGAGAGAGAAGTGGGGGAAAAACTCCTTCCATGTAACTCCGAAAGTCAGTATCCGTACCAGAGGTTGCTGGTGTTGACACAAACCCCTGACTTTTAATGCTCAAATGCATATTCTGTTGAATACTGCCGGCCATCAAGTCTGCCTTATCTCAGACATGGGTGGGAGGGAGCAGAACAAGCCACAAGACTTTATGTAAAATGTATGAATTATTGAACACTTTCAGTTGCAACAGGAAAACACCAATTGCCAGTCACACCAATTCAAACAGAATAACCTGGTAAATGTCTCTGTTTCTTGGAGTCTTCAGCTTTTGTCTGAGCTGCTGCCAAGAGGGGGTTGTAGGGATGCAGCCAGGCAAGCAGTGAGCACAGGTTGGGGCAGAGGGGGCAAAGCCAAGCTGTGCCCAGAAACCCTTGGCTGAAACCACGGTTTGAAAATGCCTTGCCAATGCCCAATTTCATGGGGCATTACACTTTTCAGAACGCCAATGTTGAGAGGCTGGACTGATACAGTAGTAAAAGTGATCAAGCATTTACTTCAGGCTAATGAAGGAAACTGGTCAAACTTGGAAAGCCTCAAGGTGGGGGGAGTAAAAAAATCAGCCAAAGGGCCGCATCATAGGGCATATTAAGAAAGTCTCCAGATCTCCTGCCTGCTTGATAACATGCATAAAAATAAGTGTGTCTGAGAACACATATAGCATATATAGTCTGATGAAAAACAGTAACTCCACAGTAATTTTCATAGTCAGTCTGCATACACTGAAAGACAGGAGCTCTTCTTAACCTGGACTGAGCTCAGGTTTGTGGGGCTGGGAGTGATGCCAGCAACACAGAAACATTAAATAACAAATCAGCTGACAGCTCCCAGAAAGTTGAAGGACTTCTTTTGAATCACTAACATTTGTTACTATTAGCAAAGCTAGACCTCATTATGTTCAATACCTGCCTTCCAGAGCACGTTAAAAACTCCAGTTAAACATGACATGGACTTCCTGCCAGAGGAGGAAGAAGTCACTTCACTGCTTTTTCTCAGGATTCCTGATACAACTGTTCAGGGCATGTGTCTATTATTCAGGTTGAGGAGCTGCAGCAAACTGCAGGAAAGCTGCCTTGTCTGGCACTGCTTTCTGACAGAGCAACCTCTAACACTGCTGGCTTATAAATCACTCAGAGCACAGAAAATCAGAGCCAGAGAATTCCCGTTCAAATGGTGCAGCTTCATATAATGCAGTATGTACATCAAGTAATTATTTTTCCCAATTGTTTGTAAAGATGTCAGCCTTGAAGGGCAGACAATCACTAGAAGCAGAGACCAACTGTTAACATTAGGTTTTAAAAAGTACAGTGCTTAAGATGCTCAGAGAGACAAAAGAACAAAGAAAAGTCTTTGTGCCTTTGTTGGCTGAGGGCTCCCTTCTAATTAAGGCAACAAGGAAGGAAGAAAGAAGCTCCCCTTGGAAGAAGGTGTGATGGACAAATGTGGTGATTCAGAAATGAAGTCATGAACAGGAAGGATTAGGACTGAGCTGTTTATAGGACTTCAAACTACCTCTAGAGAGTGCTTAAGTGTAAGGGAAAACAATGGCAGGGAAATCCACGGAAGTACATCCACACTTTTATCTAAGCTTGTACGTTTCCCTTAGTAGATACAGAGAAAAAAGAGATTTGGCTTTGAATCCTCTAAAAGGCCACTGTTTGCTTCCCGTGCTTCCTAGAGAGGGTATTTAAAAACCTAAGAGTATGGGGAGGGGAAGAGCTTTGGAAAACGATGCTGGAAGTTACTGGGAAACCTTGGATGTCAACATGGACAGCATGATCCCAATCCCATGAATGAGACAGCCAGAGGTCATATGTCCAAAAACCGTATCACACAAGCCAAAGGAGGTGTCCAGTTTCCACAGATGAAGAGCTTTGCAGGAATACCAGGATCTAATGTGCAACACAAAGTGTACAGCTGCGAGATTTACCACTGCTGTGACAGGGAATACTGCTCTCCCAGCAGGATCTGTTGCTTATAGCCAAGTTTAACACATCAGGGACTTCTGTGGCATTAGATTTGAGATCTATGAAAACATATTAATAGTAAGTTCTTGTGGAGGAGTGGGAGCTTGAGTTGGAGCTGGCATGGGAGCAGACAAAGGAGTGGCACAGAGGGAAGAGTAATTTGGTACCAGTGACAAGTGTAAAGAGGTAACATGTTTGGAGCCATGTGACTTCCTACCCATTCCCAATTTAGCCAAGTGCCTAAGAGGCATGATCTGTCCCTTCATGTTTAGCTATTTTTATCACGCACAGAATTTGCTCTTTGTCTCCCCTTGTCTGTCAGTGTCTTCAATTCACTAATCTTGGCAGTCTTAAGATTTGGGCTTACTGGGACAAGCAACATCTTCTTCCCTACGGGCTCAATCTTTCTAGGTCTTACTCAAGAGTATTTCTTCCTCTTTGGAATGATCTTGTTAACCTCTGCAGATATTTCAGCACAGGTTTGTCCAAGAGTAAGAGCTCTGGAGTAGGGACTGCAATGGCACTGGCAGGCACGCAGTTCCTGCCCATCACAATGGATTCAGCACTGTTTATTCAGTATTACTCAACCTGCACACCCCTCACTGCCGCAGCCAACCTCCAGCCAAGCCTACTCAGCTATGTACTTACACCAACAGGGCTCTCCAAAACGGTCCAGCAGGTGGGGTTTGGCCAAGTGTTGATCCATGTGCTGCTTCTCTCCCGCCTACTACTTTTTTTTTTTCCTTAAAGAGATGGGGGACAGCTATTGCAGCAGTGGGGACAGGGGGCTCTTGGTGGCAGCCCCCAAGCACCCACTCCCTTGCTGCCTCCCCACCACACAGCTTCCAACACACCTGTCCTGGAAGGAAACCCAAGGGATGGACATGGCCTCACTTATGGCAAACACTTCCCAGATCTCCCAGTGTCTGGGCACAACACTCCTACCATTTCCATGAGGTTCACTGGCTAATGGCAGGCAGCTCAGTCACTGAACATGTTCAGATGGGTTAGCTCTGCTATTTGTAAAACACATGCCAATTGTCTGAACTCTTAATAAGCATTAATAAAGTAAATGGGGAATGCACTTAATGCATACTCTGTGACCATTTTTGCAGCAACAGAGGATTTTCTGTGCTGGCATTTCTGTTCTTGATTTCTATGTTTCTGTGATTCAAGACATAGGGAAAGAAGGGAGATCATCCATAGTCACAAATTTAAGCTTCAGGAATAAATCCTGTTTTCATTAATTCCATTTTACTAAATAAAGGAAAAATCTATTATTTACTTTTAAACATGTCTGGTTTTTTGCTATGTCCTGTATTTATACTTTTGGTAAGAGTTTTTGGTATGAATTCATGGCTTAAACCAGTATTTATCATCATATATAAGCATGTCACATATTCAGGAGCCAGGATATGAAGGCTTTGGCTTTACTTTTGTACACAAGAACAAAGTTTTAACATTAATTATAAAGTGTTAAGCAACTTTTGAAAAACTTTGTGCCCTTGCCTTCACCAGATGCATTTTCAAGCTCAATTGAAAAATACCTAAAGGGAAAACTAGAACAATTCTGGTTCCATTTATCTTTACACCAAATACAGGAAAAAGACTACTCTTTCTTGTGAGGCGCCCAAATTGATCAACAAAATTAGGATCTGAAATATAATAAAATTAAGAGCAACTTTTAAAAAATGAAGTTTTGTAGGTAAATTGATAATTTTACCAGACTGAAAAATTTTTTTCTAAAAAGAAAAAAAAAACAGGTAAACCTAAGCCCACAAAGTGCTGAGGCCTGGAAAAGCCTTTCTGGAACTGGTAGTGCTCTTGGATAAATAAAAAGGCTGCTTCCAGACTTTCTAATATCATCTATTATTTGTACTCTACCTGAAAATGCTGAACTTTCAAGGTTTGAAGTGACAGCTATAGTTCATTTAAGTCACTCAGTGAGCAGTGCACCTAATGAAGATTGTCTTCCTCAGGATTTATGATCCTCTGCTATTTATCGCTTCCAACAACAGTAATCCCTGTTTCCTCTAAATTCTCCTGATCACTCCTGCCTCTCAGGACAGGAGAGCTGCCCACATCTGTATCCAGCTTCTCGCAGCCAACCTGCACAGTCCACCTTTACAATACTCCTTTTAATTTCCCCAGGCCTCCATGATTGTTCTTCTTCTAGATACTGCCCTCAGTTATCAGAATTCCC